AATAGAAGAAGACGATAATGCATCGAGAGAAAGATGTAAATATATGGTTAAGTATATGAGTTGCAGCGGCGGCAGCTGTGGCGGCAGCAGCCCGCAACACATTTTGGGATTGGCGCGGGATCCGCGGCGGTGGTGGCAGTGGCGGTTCCCATTGATACGTGACAACGTCACAACGTGGTGGCACGTATCATTGGTATAAACATCGATAGCACCGGAATCTTCCTGCGCCTTCCCTCTCTCTCCCCCCTTCCCTCCCGCGCCCCGCGCTCACCACAGAGGACCCGAGTTAGAACCCGTGTAATACACCTACTTTATTAACATAAATATAACATATTCACTAACATATCTATAGATTTGGCATCTGACAGCGTTGTTAGAAGATGGGATTCCATATCCAGAAATACAAAAATTGCGTTCAATGAGTTTCTGATTGCCTTTCAATTGATACTAATATCCACGGTTTTTATACAATAATAAAATTTATAAACAAATTTTTGGGATATTTATGGGATCACTCTTGTCACCGATTGTTGCGGATATATTATGCAAGATTTTGAAAATATTGCTATTTAAAAATTATCGGTTCATTTAACATTTTATTATAGGTATGTAGATAATATTATCTTGGCCGTCTGAAAGCGTTGATGAAATCTTGAATACTTTTAATTCGTTACATAGTAGATTGCAGTTTACTGTGGAAGTTGAGGATGGTGGGAAAATAAGCTTTTTAGACACTTTGTTAATTGTTAAGGGACAGAATATCATTTTTGATGGATTTCGCAAAGCAACTTTTTCTGGTAGATACTTTAATTTCCACTCAAACCATCCTTTATGTCATAAAAGAGGGGTATTATATGGAGTAGAGGATAAAATATTTCGGTTATGCTATCTTAGTTTTGAACAAAACAAAATTAATTGAAGTCATTAACATTTTTTTAAATAATGGAAATAACTCATTACATTTTATCAAGTATTCAGAATTAAAAACTACATATTAAAAATATATCGAATGACAGAAATGTCAATAATAATAAGTTTTTATCATTCCATTTGTCAATACTACTTCAGAGAAATTTAAACCAATAGGCAATATATTAAATTGCAAATTTGCTTTTACAATTCCCAATACGTTAAAAAATTTCATTTAAAAAGGCAAAGATAAACTAGTACATGAAAACAATCAAAATGTAATATACAAGATTTCATGCGACGATTGTGATGCTAGTTATGTTGACCAAACAAAAAAACAGTTGAAAACTAGAGTCTGTGAGCATATTGCAGATATTAATAAAATTTCCAAGTTCCCGACGATTATTTCTAATCATCGCTTGGAGTTTAACCATTATTTTAAATGGGATAAAGTTGAGATAATGGATATATATAATAATAGAACCGGCTTACAACAAAAGATTAATATTTGATGCACATTAAAAAACAGAAGCATGGCATTAATAAACAAAATAATACGAACTCATTATCACAAAGTTATTCTAATATGATACATAATCTTTTTCTTTTTTAAGAACTTTCGTTCCATTTTTCTCCCCTTCCCTACTTCTACTGTACCAGTAGATGTTTTTCTTTCTTGGCATTGCGTTGTCTGATGAAAGGGAGATAAGTTGTCTTCACTTGGTTCTAATTTATGATTTACATAAAAGGATGGAATACGACTATAATATTGACTACCAAATAATTTTCGCTTGATCAACTACATAACACAAGATACACTTTAGACTACAATAGATATTAGATTTTATTATATTGGGAGTACAAATTAGTTTGGTCCGTTTTTTTGTGTTAAAAATTTCAAAACAAATGAATGAACAGATTAATTAAAATGTTGTCCATCGCTGGCTACTACTTTTTCCCATCTCTCAGGCAATTTTCGAATTTCATCTCGAAAAAATGACTCCTCGTCTTTGACGCTCCAATTTTGGAGCGATCTAATTTTGGAGCCAATTTTCGATTTCTGCGAAAGAAGTGAACCGGTGACTTGCCAAATCCTTCGGAACAATCAGTAATCAGAAGGAGCAATGTCCGGTGAATACTGCGGGTGCGGTAAAACATCTCATTTGAGCGTTTCCAAATATTTTTTTACGACTTTTGCGACATAAGGCCGAGCGTTGTCATAAAGAAAAATAACTTTATCATGTCTTTGTTCGTATTCCGGCTGTTTTTCTCGCAATGCACGGCTCAAACGAATCAATTGTAGCCGATATACCGATTGCCCGTGGAATCGCCAGGTTTCAGCAGCTCATAGTAAACAATACCCTTTTGGTCCCACCAGATACAAAGCATGATCTTCGAACCATGAATGTTCGGCTTTAATGTTGATGTTGAAATCGATGGCAATGATTGACCGGGCTTAGCGTAGTATTTTTTCTTCTTGGAATTTTCTTCTTGTCGTAGAATATCCACTTCTCCAGTCACAATCCGATGCAAAAAACCTTTTCTTTGTTGTCTTTGAATCAGCTGTTCGCAAGTGAAAAATCGCCTTTCAACGTCTCTCGGTTTCAGTTCATAAGGCACCCAATTTCCTTGTTTTTCAATTATTCCCATGGCTCTCAATCATGCAGAAACGGCTTGTTGAGTTATTCCCAATGATTCTGCAAGCTCCTCTTGCGTTTGACTCTGATCTTCTTCGAGTAATGCCTCTAATTCTTTGTCTTCGAATTTTTTTGGCTGTCCAGAGCGAGGCTTGTCTTCAACGCTGAAATCTCCATCCTTGAAACATCGAAACCATTCCCTATATGATTTATCAGTTGGAGCAGTGTCACCATAAATTTCGATGGGCTTCAGCTGCACTTTTCTTCCAATTAAAGCAGAAAATTAGAACCTCCCGCAAATGCTGCTTGGCTAACTCAAAATTCGACATTTCAAACACAGTAAAAATCAAGATTTTTGTATGAAACTCAAAGCGATATAAATGAATATTATTAGCAGATGTCTATCCTCTCTGAAAACGCCAAAATCAGCTGTCATTATGAACCATTTACAACAACCGGAGCCATCTTTTGGAAAACGGACCGAACTAATTTGTGCTGAAAAAATTGTGCTGAAAATCTTATGTTCTATTTTTCTTATTTTTAGAGATTAATAATATATTTAATAATTTGACTGATTTAACAACATGACGAACGTTTATATATTTTTTTATACAGTTAACGAAAAACAAACTAATGTAATTTATTTAATTGTTCTTAACATCTTTACTTTTATATTTTGTATAAAAATCGCATTTGAAAATGTGTAATTTGTAAGATATAACTAATGATTTGATTGGTCGCAATACTTTTATAAAATGTCAACTGTCACAGGAGAGCACCTTTAAGCCAGCGGCATACGATGCTTGTTTTCTTGCTGGAGAATCTTGCCACCGTATTGGCTGCGATACTGTCGGCACCGCAGTTAATACGGCAGCAAAATTTTAATCCAGCTAGCAATCTAGCAAGTAAAGAAGCATCGTCTGCCGCTTGCTTTATACTAAATCTAACATTTATCGGGAATTGTAGCATATAGTGCGATTAGTGGAAGGATCTATTTGTTCACCTGATGTTAAGTTCATTTCATCTACACAGCATACAATCTGTATCTCATTTCATCTACAAAGCATGTAATCTGTATCTCATTCATCTAGAAACTTTAATACCTTCTTAATAATTCGAAAATGTCATCACAAATTCCATTTTTGAAAGTAATGGATTCCAATCATCTGCGCAAAGTACGAGGTGAAGGTAAAGGAATATGTTGCTTTAATAACTCATTGTATTATCTCCACATACATATTTGAGCCGTACTGCTTTTTTAATAGTTTTGTCTGTCCATTTATATAAACGACGTTTTTCATATGTAGCTTTAAGATAATCTATCTGATCATCATTAAATACCATATACAACAAGTCTGCTGCTAGAGGAATCTTCAGTTCTCTTTGTGACTTAGTACAATTTTCCAATTGTTGTAGACGCTTTAGAAGATTTCTTTTTGTTATTCTTATGAATGATGATATTTGCTGTCTCTAATTTTTTATTTGCTTCATCTAATTTTCTTTTCAATTCAATCACAGTATCATTATTATTTACAAATATCATTGAGTTTGTCAAAATATTTACTTCATTTTCACTTTTTCGCAATCTTTTTGCATTAACTACATTTTTATCAAAATTTGTGAAAGGTCGTTTTAATGAAGATGAAGGAATCTCGAGAATATTATTTGATTGTATTATATTTCCATCACAAATCTGAAAATTAAAATTGTCTTAAAATTTATTTTATATAAAGATACTATTACAAATTACAGTTAAAATCAATACATACAATATCTGCGCTTCTTTCCATAGTTGGAATGTCTTTATTTTGAAGAGGATAAAAGATTGTTAGAATGGCATTGGCTTTTAGTTTTTTTCCCATCCACTCATATTTTTTCCCACATTTCTATCGAAAAGTGGATCTGCAAATATTATTCAAAATTACTATTACATTTATGGATGCGTTTCAAGAAGTTAAGCATGAAGCACATGATGCATCCTTTATTCTTGTTGTTCAACAAATAATAAAGAAGTATACATCATGCGCTTTATGCGTAACTTAGAATTCATCCTACATTTCTATTTTTAATCAAACAATTTACTTACTTCGCATACAAATAAATTTTTTGTTGATTGCCATTTTCGATAACCACTGTGGATATTAATATTTTCTATCCATTTCGCCCTTTGATTTACATTTGATAGAAAACTCCTTATCAAAAATTCTTTTTTGGTACTATTATAAGGCACGCAATAAGGCACGCAGCCGGGCATTTTCTACAAAATTTGTTAGTTATAATGCACATTGTATACAATATTGAACGTTAGAAATCGATTTTTATGTCAGCATGCATTGTAATTTGTTTTCTGTATATATATATATGTACCTATATTGGGTCATCTAAAAAGTATCCGCGGTTTTTTGTCACTAGATGGTGTTGATGGTCATATATCGGGCAACACTAATCCGATTGTGTCAAACGAACGCGCGTCTGAAAGATGACATTTTAGGTTATTTTTTGTAAACAAAAAAGTTTGATGATTCATCAATCGTGTCAATCGTGTTATATTGGTTTGAAAATGAGTGAAATTTCTGAAGAAATACGCTATGTGATGCTTTTTTACTACAAAAAAGGCAAAAACGCAGCATAAACATGCAGACAAATTTGTGAAGTTTACGGCACGGATGCTGTAAGTGAACGCAGGACGCAGGAGTGGTTTGTTCGATTTCGTTCTGGAAATTTTGATGTCAAAGATCGACCTCGCTCTGGTCGGCCAGTCACTGAAAAAGTCGATGAAATTTTGCAACTGGTCAAGCAAGACCGACATGTGAACTGTCCGGAGATAGCCAATGCACTAAGAATCAACCATATGACAGTTTGGAATCATTTGAAAAAGGCTGACTACGCAAAGAAACTCGATGTTTGGGTGCCACATGAATTAACGCAAAGAAATTTGATTGATTGAATTTCCATCAGCGAAACACTACTAAAACGCAACGAAATCAATCCATTTCTGAAGCAAATCATCACAGGCGATGAAAAATGGGTGAAATACAAGAATATTGTTCGTAAAAGATAATGGAATACCATGGAACCACCACAAACAACTTCAAAGTCTGGATTGATGGCAAATAAGGTGATGCTGTGTGTATGGTGGGATTGGAAGGGAATCGTCCATCATGAGATGTTACCACATGGCCTAACGATTAATTCAGAGCTCTACTGTTCACAACTGGATAGATTACAGGAAGCGATTAAGGAAAAACGACCAGAATTGATTAACAGAAAAGGTGTTGTCTTCCATGACAACGCCAGACCAGACACATCTTTGATGACGCGCCAAAAATTGAGGGAGCTTGGTTAGGAAGTTTTGATGCATCCATCGTGCATAGTCCGCATCTTGCACCATCTGACTACCATTTGTTTCGATCTCGGCAGAACTCTCTTGATGGAAAAACATTGGCCGACAAAAGAGCTGCCGAAAATCACTTGAAAAAGTTTTTCGCCGATAAGCCATAAAAGTTCTTCACGGATGGAATTATGAAATTACCCGAAAAATGGCAAAAGGTTATAGATAATAATGATCAATATATACTTGATTAAAATTGATTTTCAATAAAGAAAAATTTCATTCAAAAATTGAACAAAAAACCGCGGATATTTTTTAGATGACCCAATATATTTCATTTATTTTTTACACAATCTGTGATCTTTTATCAAATTACGCATTAAAAAATTATTTATTTTATTTATTCATAATGATTATATACTGTTTATGATCTTTATATCATATCAGTTGATCACACCTTTATCTATGACGCCCTCTTTTATCAAACTAGAAAGATTGGCCAGACTGTTTATTATAGGGACTCTAGAAAGAAGCAGATATAGGCCCTCTCGTCTAGTGACATCTAACGTCTAACGCCGGCCAATCATGATGCGTCGATATGACCGGCCAATAGCCAATCATGCGCCTATTGCGCAGGACCGCGCGCGAGTTACGACTATCAGCTTTTCATAATGCATGTGGCTTATGTCTCAAAGAAAATGAGACGCGAAGAAGAAAACGTGGTAGTTATAACATTTATGATACAACGCCGCCCCCGTTGAAAGGTTCTACTTTCAAGAAAAGAAAAAGCAAAGAAACAAGCGATTGATTAATTAGCGGAGATGTGACTTAATATATTTAATTAGCGGCAATAATGCTTGAACACATAATACAAGTAATATTTGAACTTATCAATACAGATACAGACCCAAAATGCTTAACTTAACTTACAATAAGATTGCGCGACAGGAAATCTTACGTACTAATGACTAATCTCCGTTGGTTTGAATTTCGATGGATAATATTGATAGCCTAGTTAGTAATCTTGTGAGGATGTCCTTCACCGTCCTTATCTCGGCTGTTCTTACAATGCCGTCGATGCCGGCGTGAACATCCTACACACACTCTAATAGTCAATGAAGAGGGCATAAGCCTGTTGTTTCACAAGCACAACTTGACCGATTTTGAGTTGCTCCCCTTTACTAAACTTTCATTTGGAACGTGAAACTTTCATTTACAGGATGTGAACATATTCTGAGCTCCATCGCCATCAAAAATGTTACCTTAATGTTACCTCTATGCGTTGCCAACAGACGAGTAGATTCTCGTTTATGTTGGCAGTCAATGTTGGAGGAAACATTAAATCGAGGATCTGTCAAATTGAGATTTCGAGAAATATTGTAGTCTCTTCGTCTTGATGTGGATGTCGGAAGTTTCTCGGTTATCTGATCTGTTAATATACAGTCTATTGACAATAAGAATTTAATCGTGATTATAGCGTTACTTTGACTGCGTAGCATTCGATGTAATATTATTGATATCGGTTATCGACACGTTTAGAAAACGTTGTAAACCAAGAGTCCCCATGAATTCCCTTGAGATAAAATTCGCCTGGGAACCAGAATCTAGTAAGACTCGACACGGACGTGATGTGCCATCATAGGCAACAGCGTTGACCACAGCCATGGAAAGCATGATGTGATTTTTGCCATGGTTGGTCAACGAGTGCGTGATCACAGTTGTCGTGGAATCTTCTACCTTCGATTCCTTTGTATTGTCGGGATCCTCTAATGAGCTGGCGCTCGTGTATAGCAATATGTTGTGCCTGGCGTTACAGATTTTGCAATCTCTTGATGGGCATTTATTCAATGAATGCGCCGGAGATTGCAGACAATTGACGCAAAGCTTACGATAGCGGACCTCTACCGTCCTTTGCTTAATCGGCATCGCCAGAAATTCCTTGCAAATTGCCTGCTCGCCTGTGCAATAATTACATTTGGATTTGATGGACGTGACATTTGAGAGCCTTAAAGATATGTGCCGAATTGCCCCGTCTACGATTCGACGTAATTCAGTTGAATCTTCCTTAGTTAAAGATGGCACGTCAAGATGGCCTTGACATGTGTGAATGATTATCCGTTTATTGTCGTAACGTTCCCTCAAGAGATTCCATGCTATTTGATAAGTCGTAGCGGAAATTTCAAGGACACTGATTACATTACTCGCGTCGCCGTGAGCTAGGACTTTAGGTATTGCAACTTTTGTATGTCACTGAGCGACGCATTCAAGTGAATAATTGAATCAAATGAATAAAATAATGGGAACCACTCATCGTATTTGCCGGAAAACGTTGGAAGATTCAACTTTGGCAATCGGACACTAAACTGATTTTCTGATTGATTAGATACGCTCGATGTGAACGGCGATGTTGGCTGCGCTTGTAGAGGCAATATCGGATTGAGAAGTTCGCGAATTCTCGCGCAAAGTTAATAATATGCTTCCTCGAACCCGGCCATTGCTCTCATTGTTGTCAAGCAATCTATTTGACTTTGTATGACGTTATACTGTGACCATGTGATATGCCTGTGGCCTCAACAAGCTCGCACACTTTCACTCGTCAATCAGTCAAAACATATCGTGGATGACTTTATCGATGATTTCTGACATAGCAGCCTCAATTAGACGTCCCGAACGAGATGCATCACATGTGGATGTACGACGTTTAAATTCATTCACCCAATTGTATACAATTGCAAACGGTGGTGCAGATATGTTATGAACATTATTCGGCTTTGATTTCTTTCGGCGATAAACTTTTCATATATAGATGTTTGATCACTGCACGAAAATCGTTTTTTTTTTCATTTTGCAAAAAATACAAAGGTTGTTCGCTTTAATCGTCTACAGAAATGAAACCACACGATGAATTCCGATGAATGCAGAATCTAATAGCATTTTCTACTGGGAAAATTAGTGCACATTGAGTGCAGTTGAATGCAAATCAATTTACATATATTTTCAGTGTTAATAAATAATTTAACTATTTTAGTTAGATATTCTTTGTAATCACGATAATCTTATAATGTTAAAAGAATTAAATTATTTATTAACACTGAAAATATATAAATTGGTTTGCATTCAATTATACTTCTGTCGTACATAATAAAAATACTATATATTAAATAAAATATTTTATATTGAAAATATTATACTATTCCTATTGAACTACATCCAATGATAAAATATTTTACCACTGATCGAATGATTTTCTTTTTGAAAATAGTAAAATCTTTCGATGATAATAATGCCGTTGAGTCCGTATAATTTTATTATTAGTACAAATAATTTTACTATTGATCTGAATGATAATACCATTGACACTTTTCGTGACGGGGATGGATACAAGCGAGGAGAAGAGCACGTCAAGAATAGAGGAGGACCATCTAATTAAAGTAGCGCGAGACGGAAGGCCCGAAAACCGAAGATCACCTTCGAAGGGCTGGAAAGAATGCTGGACATCTACATCACAAAAAAGAGCGACGTAAATTAGTACAGACAAGCCGAAGGCTTATTATTACAAGAGAAAGAAGAGAAGAAGGTTCACTGTTTGATGATACTAAATTTTTGCAAGGATAAAATTACGTTTGGTTATATTAATCAAATATTTGGTTAAATTTACTCAAGTAGCATACAACGTTTATAAAACGTGAACAAAATCGCTTTTTTAACATTTTATAATGCTGCTGTGCTATTTGGATATTTTAGCACAAATTTCGTAGCTGTTCGATTAGGACAACAAAGTTTTTGTTATTCACAAACTAAAATTTTTGTTACATATCAACAATTTTGATTGTACGTACAAAACGATTTCTCTGAGTGCAACTAAACATTTATTTACAGTAACAAATAAATATTTATTCATTAAAAAAATTATTATTAAATGAAGAAATATTCTTGTACCAAAAAAAATATCTTTATATTTAATAACTATGTAATTCACAATATTGAGTTAAAAATTGAGTTATTAAAATTGACCATATTTCTTCTTAGTGTAAGAATTATTCCAATCAGTATTTGAAGAATTGAATTGGATTGACAATGCGATTGCTTGAATCAATGGCTGCGTTCAGCAGAAGTTAGCACTACATTAGCGCATCACGTTGCACTTTCAACCGTTTAAAAATTTTATTGAATGCTCCTAGAATTATAGTAAGCGTAATGTGCTGTAAAGTAAAATTGTAAAATATAATTTTTTATTGCAAAATATAATACATTTTGCATTTTTTTATAGCAAAATATAATTTTTTTATATTTTTATTTTTTTATTATATATATATATATATATATATATTTTTACATACATACACATATACACACAGAAAAATATCATTCTATTGCCAAGAAAAGCAATTATTTTATTTTTCTTCTTTTAAGTAACTGTCAATAAAGAATATTTTCGCTAGTAGTCTTAAAATGTATTCACCCCAAGTTTTAGAAATATTCAATATCATGTACTCAAAATAAGAATTTATTCTCTTTTGAAATATATAATATTATAAAATTTTATCGAAGAAAAATAAGATTTGATTAACTTGAATATTTAATAATATATTGATGTAACAAAATTTACTTGGTCAGAAAAATTTGATATATTTCTTTCAATTCTATATAACAGATTTAGAAAAAGCGAAACTAATTTAGAAACAAGAAATTTTTTTCTTGTTTGAAGTAATTCATATTTTCAATTTAAATAAATATTTATTTTGGGATCAAATTGTACATGCAATATAATGCAATATTTATATTGTTCCATAAAAAATGTGTTTTTTCATATATTTATTTTAATTATTTTGAATTAATAAATACCAGCATATTATTGTATTTCGTTTCCATGTAACCTCATCAAATAATCATATGAAACTGTTATCATGTGTGAAATTAAAAATGATTACAGTAAGAAATATACCGTTGGCAACGACTCGATCACAAGCGTGGCGATTAGCTCAGCGTAAATGCTTACTATTCTAGGAATCGTAGGTTCAAATCTTGTCAGCGATGCGATGCATTTTTCAATAATTACTTGTAGTTAATAAAGTAGAATATGAATATGCGAGTAAAAATATAAATTAAACTGGAAAAATAAAAAGCAATAATAACAAAAAATAATTTTTTTCGTTAAGATATAATTGTAATTTTCTTATTACAAGTAAATATAATATTTGATTCAAGTAAAGGAAGAATTCTTCTTAAGTAAATTGAATTTTTTATTTAATTTAATATTCTTGATTGAGAAGTATTAAATTTTCTAGAATTCAGAATATATTTTGAATAAATCGGATGCTTATGATGAACTTGTAATAGATTTGTGGATATATGAACTTTTGAAATACTTGGAAGAAGTCATTATTACTTGTGTACAGTATATATTTTTCTGCGTGTAAATACATACACACATACACATCCCAGTAAACGAGAATGAATTAAAATGGATTGAAATTTTTTTCCGAATGCGTATTTTATATACAAATAGCGAATAGTTTTTTTGGATTTAATTGGATTCAATTAGATTCAATTGGATGCAATTGGATTGAAAAAGTGCATTTTCTATTTAAAATTTTGAATTGAACAATATTCACAATGCACAGAAAAAGTTGATATTATTTTTAGATTGAAAGGTATAGAGATGTACTCCATGCAATTCCTATAAATGAATAAAAATGCATTCAGGATTGAAAAGCATTCATTTACAATAATATTCGTGAATCCTATATTTCTGAAAATCTGAATCCATTTCAATCCATTTCAAACCATTCTCGTTTGCTATACACGTTTGCTACGCACGCACATGTATACTACACATATCTACATATACATATCTATGACATACATACATACATATATTAGGAAAGTTACTTTGTAAAAGTAACTAATTAGAGTAACAGTTCTTTTTTTCGAAAAATAACATGTTACAGTTGTAGTAAATGAATCATTATTTTTCTATTAATTTTTTATAAATTTTTGCTATTTTAAATATGAGAATCTTATACATTTCTAATATAAAATATAAATGAATAAATAAATAATATAAATAATATGAATAATATAAATATAAGTAATATAGGTATAAATAAATAAATAATATAAATAATATATATAATTAATAAAAAATATAAATAAAATAAATAATAAATAGTATATATACACTTATATGTATACATTTAAATAGTATATATATACATTTATATGTATACATTTATTTATTATTTATTTATCTATTTTATATGTGTGAGTGGTGTATGTGTGTGTGTATATCATACCTATCTATCATACATATTTACATTCTAGATCTAGAATTTTTTAATATGTATCTTGCAGAGATTGCTTTCAAATAAATTCAATCTCAAATAAAACAATAATAAGCGTAACAAAACAAGAAAACGGTAACTATTTAGATCTATTATAATTAAAAAAGATAACTCTGGTAGAAAAAGTTTGCTGAAATTATTTCATGTTTTAGAACACTTTTCAGCAAAATTTCAGCATTTTAGATAAATTTCAGTTTAATTTCAACAATTTTTAGTTAAAAAATTTATTTTAGCAAAATTCAGCAAAATTTAATTTTTGCAATTTCAGAAAAATTTCAGCAAAAATTTCAGAGAAATTTCAACAAAATTTCGGAAAAATATCAGAGTAATTTCATAATTTCATATTCTTGAGACTTCTACGCTTTCTATATAAAGATTATGCGTTTCGCGAGTTTCCTCCGTGTCCAGATCCATTCTTGGAACGTTTCGTGAACTTGCAGTCCACTTCATCAGAGCGAGGAGCAGCCTGATACTGAGCTATTCCTCCGGGTCGTTCCTTTTTTATATTACGCTACTTGGAGTGGTAAGGGAGAAAAAGAGAATTGTGGGTGGAGAGTAAGGTGGGCGAATCGGTCAGTCTTCAATAACCGGAGAATGGTTTTGTGTTCTGATAA